TGATTATTCGTCGGGCTGTTTTCGATATATTGAATTCTGAATTACGATAAACAATTTAGAAATTTCTTTTTGTGACCTTATCAATAATCAATTCATTTGTTTTTGTTTGTTTCCTTTCATGTTTTCTGTTTTATTTTTTAAATTTAATAAGAACTGATTGCTTCAGTGTCTTAATTTGAAAGTATTGAAAACAATGGCAACCTCTATGACCGCAAGCTCGACACGCCGGCGCGACAAAAAAGCACTGGGCAGTTACCAGCCAGTGATGCGTGGCTGTCTTGGCCGACGGATGGTTGGGCTGTTGACAGGTTGTCGAAATACATCGAAAAAATAGCGAAAAGCAAAATACGTATTTAAAATTGTTGGAGTGAAACTATATTCTTAGATTGAAAGTAGTTCGTAAAGTAACGATAAGTTTAATAGTCTCAACATTTATTCATTCAGAAAGATATTCAAAGTAATGTGTAATGTGTGCTTTCAAGGTGTTTTGCTAAATCAGTGGTTCAAACCAATGATAACCTATACGAAAATAATGTGTTAAGTTAAAATGGGGGCTGTTATTTTAGCAGTTTTATAATAGCACGTATAAGTAAAAGCAGCACAATGAAGTGTATTTTACTTAAGTGTGTATCGAAAAAGAGAACTGTCGCAGGATTACATCGATCTGTCATAAGTATCTTTTTTTTAATGTTGGGGTAAGTTTTTAATTTAACTTTTAAACATTTAACTTTTAATTTATTTTATGTAATAATATCACAATCTTAAAAATGTAATGCATCTCTGCAAACTCCTCAGGTGTTGTGATTTTATGACTTACTTGTAAACATATACTTTCTTGTCCATATGGCAACACAGTGCGTCAATTAACTGAAATCGGGCTTGATCCGGGTAATTGGATGTAGTTGGCAATACCTGCCGGCGGTTCTCAAAATGTTGCGATTATTTTTTTAAATTTTCAAAGTTAAATAACTCAGTTATTTTCAATTTATTTTAAAAATGGTAAAGAGAAAATATGTTTATTTTGACCAGATCTACCACCTCTTAAAATATCTGCACTCATTTCTGGGACACCCTGTATATATACTTGCTTATGTACTGTAATATCATGGATAGACTACTGTGTCATTTTATTTTACAGGTCTATCTTAAGTCAATTCTTCTCAATAGGTGCCTATTGAGAAATGTTCTTATATTACACCTCATCTGGGTCTTCTGTCTTATCCACTCTATCCTTTTGTGTTATCCCTTTTTAATTCTATACACACGTCACTCCGAAGACCTTTTTGCAATATGGAGTTTTCTTCTACCAAATTTTAATTAAATGATATATCAGTTGACTGAAGGATAGTAATATCGTTGATTGAAAGAATTTGGAAGATACGTAACCCATTGGGCGAATTCGTGACAAGGCTGATTTGATTTTCCCTTACCTCTCAAATGCTGTACGGTGGGGACATCAATCGTTTTGCGGTCAACGCATAAAACACTTATTTTCTCTAATTCGGCCAGCGAAGGCATATCGAAGACGGTGTGGATCTGCAAGCGACAGTGTTGTCATATTAAAATGTATAATATTTGTAATACGTTTGACGAAAATATCTTTGGATTAAAATCCGAGTTTATGTATTCAAAATTTATTCGTGTTAAACATAGAATAAACAACAAAAATAAAAGTTCTGTTATAGGTACTGAATATGATCGAAAAAAGTCGTTTAGTTGGCTTGGAAATGACGATTATTGACATTTACCATAATATTTTACATATGAAATAACAGCGATCTTCATCTCCAAGCCTACTCTGACGCCGTTCTTTGTGTAATCGTATAATATTATATTCCATTCCAATCCAAAATCCATAAATCTACGGATTAGTCAGTAGTCTCCGGCAACTCACTCTGTCGACTGAAAGTAGAACTACGGTACAGTATTCTTTATCCGCTGCGCTATAAACAACTATCACCGTGCAGCGGCGCAGAGCTAAACTAAATCTCGGATAGACTGATGGTAACGCCAGCTACATCTCAGACAAGTTTTGTGCCACAAAATCGCCCATAAGGTTGCGCATTTTCTTACTTCTTCAATTAACGATAATATATATGATATTTGTGATTGCTACTTTTGAAATTATCTCCTTGTATACCTGGAAAGCAAAGTTTTTCTCGAGATTTTCTTAGAGAATACCCAACCACACTCCTGTTGCCAATGACCTTAGATCCCTCGAGAAGAAAATTCTTTTGTGTCATTGCATTGTTTATTGGAACGGTTCGCCCATTCTAAGTTGCGAAGAACGAATAGACCGTGAAAATAGTGGAGGTATTAAGTTGGCGACAGCTGGAAACCATCGAAGTAAAAAGGCGTCCGGATTGCGGTTAATCGCTTCTTCTCCGTGAGCATGCTGCGTGACAATGTCGATTTTTCAGTTCAATAGTCATAGATATATATATATATATATATATATATATATATATATATATATATATATATATACTATATCTATATATATATATATATATATATATATATATATATATATGTCTTTGAGCTTTAAATTTTTGCATTTAAGACACGTGATGTATTTAAAGAAATAATTCGTTTCATATGTATATATGTTACAGTGAAAGTCGGAAATCCAGTAATTGTTAACAATAATCATTAGGAAATGTTAACAATTACGCATTGGACCAGCGAATGTGCTAAGTTTAATTCAGCAATAACAATATTCGGATAGTCAGGAGTTTTTGAACAAGACACTGTCTCCTCAACAAACACTTCAGTAGATTCAAGTTAAGAAACAACGGCGAATGCAGATTCTGTAGGGAAAATAGACACACCACAACACCTCATCAGTAAGTGCGCTGAGACAACAACCATTCGTGTCATAAACTTTGATACGACTGATATCGGAGATGGAGAACCAGCCTTTGTAAAACCGTCTCAGTTACTGGTCAATGCCGTGAAACTGTATGATGAATTTTAACTCAAGAAAGGTGGACACAATAGATCTGTAAGGTCGCGGTGATTAATTCCCCTGCCATACACTCTACTAATAATTTAGCAGTCGCTAGTAAGAGTAACATTTACTAAATGCTGTCAGTAAAAGTCATTCTATTCTATTCTACATTAGGGAGTGCGCTGCTGAAAATTAATAGGAACAAATAAAACTTTTAAGAACATTAAATCACCTTCATATATTTAAGCTGATTCTCTCATCTTCAGAAGCACCAAAACTAAAATATTTGCCTTTATAGTAGTTAACATTAAAATTCATCAGTAGTTTAGCCCTGTGATTCCCAAAGTGGCTCGGGTGGACCCCCAACCAACTGCTTACTAATTGAACCCCATTTACCAACAATTTATTAATTGAACCCCATTGGAGATTGGAGATCCAGTTAGCAAATCAGTGTTAACATTCACGGATTTCTGGCTTTACTGTAACATAAATAACGAGTCAGTCTCTAACCGTAAATAAAGCCATGCGATAATTAAAAAAATCAACATCGTTACCGACAAAACCATCGAATTGTAACAATGGGTAATTTTTTCTGCCGTCTCATTGATGAAACGTATACCGAGTTATTGTTTCAGAGCAAAGAAATGAAAAAGCACCGTTCATGTAATCCTCATCGGAAAACAATCTGAAACAGTAAACACTGTCAAATCACGCAATTTTAAATGTCGGTATACCAAAAAAACAGAATGTGCACATTACGTTAAAACTGTTAAAAAATATATATTCAAAAATGTATATCTATTTCTAATCAAAATAGATAAATTATAATAATTACTTTAATAACAAAATTATCAAATAGACTGAAACACCTAAACTTATTATCGTAATTATTTTTGACAAGTTGTTTGCAATAATGTCACTGTTAATTTAAGTCAAGTTGTCACACAATATCCTTCTAGATTTACTACCTCTGAAGAAAACCAAATGTATAATAAAATAAATAATAAATAACATTCGGAAAAGCAAAACACATCAGCAAAATTTTCAAATCAAATTCAAATGTGTCAATTGAAACGTCAAACAGATCTGTCAAAAATGGGGGTTCATGATGTCAATTCCGTCTCTCTAATGCAAGAAGCAAGAATGCATATGGATAGCATATACTCCTTTCTTAATTCTGTATACAGAGTCCGGCAATAGTGTGACCCTTTTCTACCAAACTAGCAATAAATGAAGGAAAATAATGAAAATACTAATTGAATTTCCTAGATATAAAAAGATAATATAAATAACTGTTAATACTTATACAGGCGTAGAGGAAATAATAAAAAAAGCGGGTACGGGTACACGCATTCACAGTTATATTTAACGTTGTGGGGTTGTGGTTTTCAATAAGTAGAGCTGTTTTAAATTACAATGTCTACTTTAGTTGGTTAATTTTTAGTCAAAGTTTATCTTAAAGTCCCGCCTGCACTTACCTGCTTAGTCATAACTTATCATGTAGAAACGGTGGAATATCTAACAAACAGTGTGTAGATGAGAAAACGGTCTTTTTGCTTTAGAGAACTGACGGAACTGATCATTCGTCGGTTTGTCTACACTGAAAAAAATATAAGTAAATTTATAAAACAATAATATGGATATATTACAACAGCATCTTTAATCCACACAGAATCTGCTTTCGTCGTTGTTTCTTAGCTTCAATATACTGAGGTATTAACATAATTATTACACAAACAATATACTATTTTCACAATTATCTTTGTGTGTTTAAAAATAAAATATAAACCATAAATACAATTTTTTAGTGCAATTTCATGTTTTTTCTTTTCAACTTCACTAAACATAACGGTATAATTTATAAAACCTCAAATAAAACTTAGTTTTTAACGCTAGTTTTTAAACCGTCTTACCTGACAGGTAAAACTTTACGTATATGCGGGAATAATTTAACTAATATAGTAACATATTTTTTTATTTAAAAATAATGTTATAAAAAAACAACAAGATATATACATATTTAATTTTATTTTCTTTTTTTTTCAGATAGTTAGCTGCAATTTTCTTCAAGAGTGACACAAACCGTCTGAAATATTTCCCTCATCATCAATACTGTTGTGCGTATACCAAAAAAAACTATTTTAAAGATAAAAGTGTAAATAAAAAAACATAAACATAAACAATAAGACACAAAGTGTTTTGGACTAGAAAAGCAAACTAGGCTTTGTCTTCTGTACCGAGTGTCCAGGAAAACAGTGACATTCCACGCTTAAACAAAAAGTAAAAATGGTTCCTGATGTATTATATATAAAAAGAAAATGTTGCTATATCTAAAGTAGCGGTACAAAATGTGTAAATAGTATTCATAAAAACGTTTTAAGAGCAAATAAAACAAAGTTAGAGATTGAAATCTACACTCTGTGGGCTGGAGAATATATTTAATAGGATATTTTGATGAGAAATTTGATTTAGATTAAGAGTCGCTCTACACTACGCGGAAATTATAAAGCCCGGTTTACGTTCCGTTGAAATTGACATCTAAACTCGACTATAACGTTTCATGCAAATGTTTTATTACATTTTTAATATGCCGTGTTGAGTTACAGTCAGGGTTGGGTAATGTAACAAATTAATAATTTACTACGCTAAATTTAAACGTAATAAATTTAGTTTAAATTTAACCACAGTTGAGTATGTAACAAATTAGCAATTTGTTACACTCTTCTTTTGGTAAAATTTTTGTTCAAGCTGTACTATGTATGTGTAACACGAAACTTTATTTTACTTCTAAAATTAATCAGGGTTGTGTAAAAAACTAAAAAAAACATTTCTTACACTTTTTAGTTTGTTAACATTTTAGTTGCTCTCTCATGAAAACGAATTTTACTTCTATAAACTACCAGGTCTATCATAAACCTAAATTTTACTTCTAAAATTAACTAGAGTTGGGTAAGTATATAACTAATTAACAGTTTGTTACACTTTTATGTAACATTTTATTTCGAACAGCTATATGTTTATCATTCAAAATTAATTTTTGTTTTAAAATTAACCAGGGTTGGGAATGATTCTAATTAACAATTTGTTACACTTTTCATTCTATACTAACCAGTTCCAGCTGTGTTTTATGTTAACCATTTTCATTTAAATGAACAATAATATGACTCTGTAAGAAATTTCAATTGGTCAGTGATAGGTGTGTAACAAATTAACAGTTTGTTACATTATCTTACTTTTACCACTTTACTAAAATAAACAATTGGTTTCAAAGAGTACTTAGACTAAATTGTTGTTCTCTTCAACCACAAATATGTTCTTACTTCTTTAAACTTGTTCTAAGAGGTTTCTTTTGCAGTTATAACAATTGTTACGTTTATAACAATTGATATTGTAAAAATAAAGATCGTAAGAGTTAAATAAATAAAATTTAATGACTTTACTGTATACCAAAATTGAATGGTCTGGTATTTTCAGTCGTAAATAACATTTTAGAACGACAATACTTCTCATAAATAAAGATTCAATCTCCATTCTTTTTCTTTGCTCTTGGAACGGACATAATATAGTATTCTCTCTGGCGTTATATTTTGTGTATGTTTTACTATACCTACTGTATATAGTCACTGTATAAACTAAAATAAAGATGAGATTCGTTAGATGTTAGCTTTATTATGTCGGTTAAAGCAACTTTTTTAGCCGCCCTGTAATCAAACCTATATTATTAGGTAACATTACAACCCTTATTGTTACGTTATTAAAAAAAACACAAAAAGCTTTATTTTTGGTACGATTTAAATGTGTTAAATAATTACTGTCAGTTTTTAAATGTAGAAAAAAATATTTGGTTTGTTAGAAAGTTGGAAACATTGATATATTATTTATTAAACATAGATGATTTAATAAAATACATTTATTTTTATTTAAGTAAGTTTATTTAATTAAAATGTATGCAGGATGTAAAAAAATAGTATACTCTAATCACTCTATCACTTCAGTGAGTTCCTGTGAACATAATATACCCTAATATGCTGCTTGAGGCAGTGGCGGTTCGTTAGTTAAGAAATTAGGTGCAGAGTCTATTTCTTTAAATGGCGCCGCAGGCGAAAATTTTTTTGGCGCATTCACTATTTTGTCAACTTTTTTTAAAATATTATTTGAAAAATTTTTGCTGCATTCACCATTTTGTCAAGATTTTTTTGTTATTATTTATACACTAATACCTATAATATTTTCGTTTTAGTTTGGGCTAAAACGCATTAAGTAAAAAGAGATACAATCAGTTTTCGATAAATACATTATTTTGCATTCCACTGAAAATATAATTAAATTTAATAAACATCAGTGTCCACCATAAAGTTGGATCCATATAGATGTTTTTTTTTTATATTACAGTTTTAAAAATTTTTTTTGTGGCAATCACTTCTGCTTTGAAAACAACTTAAAATGCACCAAGCCAAAATTAACAGCTAACAACTGGGAGCTGTCAAATACAAAATATTTAAAAGAAATTTTTAAAAATTGGTTAAATTATTATTATTTTAACAAAAGTGACTAATTGCGCACCAAGTCATTAATTGGGTTCATTTTTTAACACATGCACACACACAAAACAGTTTTAAAACACAACAACAAAACAAACAGCAAAAATCGGCAAAAATTAACAAGTTAAATCAACAAAAGCCATTAACAAACAACAATAAATAACAACAACAACTTTACAGTCTTTACACTTGGTTACTTCGGCGAGTAATTAACCGAATATTAGCATAAATGCATAAATTATGCGCCGCCGTCACGCATTTCCTGGACAAAAGGAAGACGAAGAGAACTGCCCAAAACCAAAAACTCATTCACATCGGTCACCGATAATAAACTTCGGGGCGGGGATTACATCTGCCGCTAGGCTGACGTCACGTTACCATGGAAACCGTGCAGGCCGCTTGGCTCAGAAATAGAAACATTTTCACCATGATACAATAATTTTCACTGGCACTTCTGACTCTCAATGCTACTTTTTCGGCCGGAATTAACGATGCGGTGGACCTATTATGCAAAGGTCCGCTGGGAAAAAAATAAATAACATAAAAAATTACCATTTTATTATTTAGATGCATGTAAATATATTAAACTAAATTAATATTTTAAGCAGTGAAGTTTTTTCTTTAATTTGAGTATTTCTTCGGTGAAGTGCCCCTTCACCTACTGCACCTGACGAGCCGCCACTGACTGCCTGAGGAAGTTACAACCCTAGGGAGGGTTGTAACCTACGTGAAACATATCTTGTAAATTTTTAGAGCATATCTGATATGTAACTACGTAACTAAATTGTTAATTGTTTTAATACACTGCATTCATTACTAGTTACCTATAAAATTTCTTGGCATCTCATCTATACTAAAATCTAACTAAACGAAGAGCACCTTTCTTACGTAAAAAAGTGGTAGCTTTTTATATCATTTGTTCAAATTACGATACCCGTTAAGATAACAAGTTTTGTGATGAGCTGCCCCCCATCCTAATGGAAAGTACCCTCTCAGAACGGATTTTGCACTCTTTTGATCTGTAGAATCATCCACTGAAGTTTGGTAAAACTATTCTCTTACATTCTGTATATAAAACTGACTCAGTTTATTTAACACATTAAAATTCTCTTTATTACCATATTAATTTTTTAATATTTCTGTGCAATAGTTTTGTTACATTTTTCTTGATGGTTTTCTGTTATGTTTCCATATGTTACACCTACCCCAAGAAATAGAAAAAATGAACTAGAATCGAGCAAAATTCTTGTAGTTTTGTGTAAATATATTTTCCCTTTTTGAGATTACCGCTACTTACATCACAAAAAAAAATTAAGATAACTTTTTAGATAGTTCAATTATTGTACTTTGTTTTGGGGTATTTTTTGATTGGAAAAAATACTTGTTGTTGAAAAAATATTTTAAATGTTTTAATATTTAAGAAAAAAAATTGCAACTATTTGTAGTACATGTTTTCTGACTCATATTCAACGTTTTTGCAATTATATTGGGATATGTTTATATAGGACATTTTCAATGTAGTTCTCCTGTATCTATCTTTTCAAATATTCTTAATAAATATTCTATATTTTTAGATGTTAAATTATATAAATATTATCTGTATCTGTACGGGATATAAATAGATGTTTTTACCTAATTATAACTACAAGATGAATGTCCTAAAGTAATATTCAATTTGTGTTAAAGCTTATTTATGGAATTTCATTCAACACAATGTAAAATAGTAAAAATGCTACGTAGAAAATCATAAATTATATCTTTATCAGTTCTATCTCCGATGAAGAGTTAAAAACTTTTTTACAACCACAAAAGAGCTTTTCATGGAGTAGCATGCGATATAGGTACAATACTACAGCAAAATTCTACAATGCTCATAATTATACAGGGTGTTTCAAAAATCATGTGCTATCTATCGCAGGGAGATTCCTCGCATAAAAATAAGATTTATTTTTTATATCAATATAGGTTCGATTATGCTGTTTCCTATCTACAGGTTTTTTCCGCTTGTTAACAGTACTATGTAGTCCGTTTAATGCCGATTAAAAGTTGTTTCTTGTTATTTTGTCTATTTCGGTCTATTAATTTGCCTTGATCCAAGTCTAAGAACCGCCTTTAAAAAAAATTAATGTCATTAACTGACTAAAGTCTTATATAAGTACTTATTTGAGAAAAAAATTATAAAAAAAGTTCCTATAAACATGGGTGAGGAAATGCATAGTTTTGAAGTTACTAAGATGTTAAAACTTTTAAAAAATAGGTCTTTTGTAATTATCTTCAATACCATTAATATTTTTATGAATTTGCTGTGGGTAGCACTGAATATCAGTGTAATAAATTTAATATAAATTTTATTTTAATTTTATTAATTGTGATTAATAAAATTGCGTTTATCTCATCAAGAAGATCGAAATCCACAAAATATCAAGATAAAACCTTTAATCGGCATTAAACAGCTCACACAATTTTGCTAACAAGCGGAAAAAAATTCAGTGCGGCACATGTTTATTTAGAAAAATATTCCAGTGATAACCCAGATGCACGCCCCTGGTAAATCCATCGACACTTTTTTAGCATTAAAATATGTCGCACTTATAGTAACTTTTATTCTCCAAATTTCATTTGAATGACTAAAAACAATTGGAAGAAAATTAGATTTAATTGCGAAAAAAAAAGACTTCAACTGTAACCACCGTAATAACAAGGCCGAACAGCTTATTCGTGACGTCATCAACTGGAGGCCTAAACTTTGATTGCATTTGATACACTTTATACGTATATAATGGATATAAACTTAAATTGCACCGAATTTTTAATAAATAATAATTAAACATAAAATTTAAAAAACATCAGATTGATATCCCATCTCACATTATCCATCGTCATTGTATTTATTTATGCTGTAAGTGTGTCTAACTTTCTTTTATTTCCTTTTCCAAGTCTATCATTATTTTTTAACAACAGTAGTTTTTCAGACGTGTATTTCTAATAGAATTTATGACAATTTTTACAATAACTTAGCATTATAAATAGTACATTGCGGAAATTTTAATAATGGTGTTATTACTTTTAATGTAATCCAAAGATATTTTTGATAAAAATATTTTTTTATTATGAATTTTGAGAAACTCCTCATAGCTTTGCAAAACTTTGTTAAAAATTATATATTCAAATAAAACTATATTAGTAATTTCATCTTTTGGAAACCCAAGACTGCCTTTAGTAAGGTTTTTTAGTTAATTCTGTTCAATATCAGTGTTGTCTGAAAATGTTTATTATAATATATAATAATATCATAATATATACTATAAAAAATATCTATTTTTTTATTGTTTTTTCTCATATTATACACTATTGTGAACTCAAAATATTCCTTTATTAAATTTGATTGATAAAAAGTGAGAGATAAACATTTTATTGACTGGTATGATTTTTTCCGTATTCAATAAAACTATTTTTATATACTATAATATTTTTAAAAACTCGGAAAAAGACATTTTAAAACTGCGAAATATATCTGGTGAGTGAAAAAAGATCCACAATTTGAACTTTTATCAGGTAATTATCAACGCTGCTAAATAGAGTTCAGCCTCCAGTTGGTGACGTCACGAGATTTTTACGTCACGAGATTTTTACGTCACAGCTGTCCGGTTTTGTTATTACGGTGGTTACGCTTCAACCCCCTGTAGCTACGAAACAAAGCAGAATCGGACCTATGTCGGCATAAAAATAAATCTTAGTTTTACGTGAGTAATCTCCTCTAGTATCATATGTTTTTTAAAACACTCTGTATAAAAGGATTTTTACTATTAAACCTATTTACTCAAGAAACTTTCGAAAATATTTATATATTATATATACAATAAACATGTAACATGTAAAAACTATCTGTGACACATCAATAACGATGTATTTGAGACATATCGGAAATTACCTTATTAGTTTAAACTTATCCTTTCTTTAAACCCATTGTTTTCAACGTGTAGACAATAATTAAAACAAGTTATTGCATTTATTTTTTAAGTAAACAAAGATTGGTGTTATTTAAAAAAACTTATACGCTTAAATCTCTAGAAAATTACTATAAAAAAAACAACTCTAGATGTAAGTTCAACTCAAGAGAGAAGACTCGTTAAAACGAAAAAAAAAATAGAGTCTAAAACTTTATTTTTGATTGAAAAACATCCAAACTGAATGAAAAAAGTCATACAATATTATTAGCAAGCTTTAATACATCTTCTAACTATCTTAAGATATCAAAACTAACGAGTCTTCTTTTAGTGTTTTTCAGTTTTATATAACCCTGTATTTTTCGCGTCAACTTCTGTGTTTTCCGGTATAAAATGAATTTTTTGAATTTTAAACCAAAGAGAAAAATATTTATAGTTTTAGAACATAGCTTAACTGAGGTCCTTTTAGCTGTACTACAATAAAAATATAAAAAAAACAATTAAACATTTTAAAAATGGTGTTTTATTTCGTCCCCAACTTTTTCTGGATGACTTTAAAGATTAAAAAAATGGTGAGCTAATTTCAAATAAGAAACATTATTGCAATAGAATGATAGAAAAAATGGTCACATTTAAAATGTGCAATATATAAAGTTAACAAAAATTGTCATTGTTTAATGACAATTTTTGTTAACTTTATATATTGTTTCTCTAAGCTTTTAGAGAAACTCTGAGAAATAATATAGACAAAATTTAAAAATAATATACAAAATCTTGAAAAAAAAATCAGCAAGTGCGAGTCGGACTAGCCTACAGAGGGTTCCGTATAAAGACTATATTTTTTAAGATATAATTACAAATGTATGTTTTTCAGATTTTTTCCTATCTTTGTAGTATGAGGCGGTATTACTTTACAAATATCATAGTTCCCGTTCAACGAAGAATACCCTATAAATTTTGATTCCCTTGAGAGTGTCGAATTATACGTTTTTTTGCGGCATAAACGGCCGTATCTTTTTTAGCGTTACCTTAGAAGTTTGATTTTTTCACAGTTTCAAGAGACTATAGACCAGGGTTCGGAAGTAGTTAATTGAGACGTAATTTACCTAATTAACTACGTGTAGTTTATCTTTAAAAACTACGTCTTGTCCCGGTCTTTAACTACATGAAAACTACTTTGATAAACTACATATTGTTATTACAAATTACAACAGAAAAACAGCATTATATATAAAAATATTAATTATATAAGAGTTTCTTGCCTTGAACTGCTAATATAGAAATTAATTCCACACTGTGTTCGTCATAATGTGAGTGTGGAATTAATTTCTATATTAGCAGTTTAAGGCAAAAGGCAAGAGGCAAGAAACTCTTATACTCTTATATAATTTTGTTATATCCTAAAAACTGAACAAGAAATGTATTTTCCAAAATAATACACACATTGCCTAGGCTTTTCATTTAATTCAGGAATTATCAGTTTATAAAAAAAACAAGATATAATGGACAAGAAAATATATTAAATTATAAAATATGAACATTTTAACATAAGTAGAGAACATATATAATTTTATAACATCTTATAAGAAAATTTAAGTACCCTACTTAGTTGTATTGCTTAAATGTAATGAGCACATGAGCAGTAGCAATTAGCAATGCACTAATAATAAAATATATTAAATTATCAAATACAAACATTTTAACAAAAGCACAGAACAAATATAATCTTATAAGATTTTAATAACTTAGTCAGTCAATCATTACTATATAGTTGTATTGCTTATAGGTAATGAGTAGTAGCAACGCACTAATAATATAATATAATAAATTACAAAATACGAACATCTTAACAAAGAAGAACACTAGTAAAGAACAAATATAATCTTACAAGATTTTAATAACTTAGTAGTCAGTCAATCAATATTAGTTGTACTTGTATGGCTTAAATGTAGTGAGTAGTAACAATGAACTAATTTTTTAGATTTTTCTGATCCTAAACGATTCCTTAAATCCGAATGTATGAATGACCAACTACTAAAAACCCTTTCCAGCTGGGCAGATGAAGCTGGTATGTTCAATAACTTAACAGCTAATTTTGATAGCTGGTCATGTTTTCTACTTGCTAAACCCCAATATGTTACTGGACAAGTAATCTCCTTTTCAAGTAATATTTTGAATATATCTGCATTCATGTTAAACTGTTGCAGGCTAGACAGTCCTTCTTTATCAAGATTTTCTAAGAGGTACTTTTCAACCTGGTCTATCTGGCCCTCAGTTAACAGATTCCCTCTGTATGAGGGATGCAAATAATTTGATGCTAATGCATAAATATTCAAGGCCATATTTTTTCTATTTTTCAAAAATTCTTGACACTCATCTGGAAGCTCCAACTTCAACCATTTTTCAGAAGCGTCAGCTAGGCTGCACTCTCGAGACTGACATTCATTTATCAAGAGACATACATTATTAGAAACGTCAATAGCTTTCTCCACGTTTTGTATAAATGATTCGTCATAAAGTAAGCTTACAATATTGGTTTTTACTTTAACATTGCCTGAAAAAAAATGTGTTAATATTGTATTTATAAAATAAAACTTCACTCTTACTTTTAGCTGCAATGGTTTTCATATGACCTAAATTTTGTATTAGGCACACAAATGCATCTCTATAAGAAGCCCATCTAGTATCCACTGCCAATTGAATTTTAGATCCTCCATCAGAGATAATGTCTTTCTCCAAGTCTGGATGCTTAAATTCTCTGAGAATTAGAGAAACTTTACTAGCTGTAGCCAAATCTAGAATATCCTTTGCCAATAAATTGCCTGTGTGACTGTTACATGTTGAATGCATCAAATTGGAGGAAAGCCGGCCCATTTTCAACATATTGGCAGCATTATCACTTACGATTGCATATACATCTGTATCATATCTTTCCTTAGCCAAAGTAATAGAATTTTGACAGATATTGTACAACTCCTCTCCTGTTTCTGAATTACCAGTTATATCATATGAATCTAGGAAACAACATTGCCCACCAACAGAGTGCAATATTGTTACCACTTGTTTCGTATTGTTGGAGGAATTTTTCCATCCATCTATTAACATAACAGAAGTTTCCCCAACATTAGCTCTGTCTGTTTTTACGATTTCTTCGTGAACTGAATTTAATAATGATCCTGATAAAGTTTTACTGCATGGAACAGAATATGCAGGTCGTAATTCCTGTATAAATGTTTTAAAAAACCTGGAATCTACAGTGGAGAACGGTAAGTTACAACCTACCACAAATAATGTTAGTGCTCTATCTAGCTTTTCCTTTTGTACATTACTTATATTGTCAAAGAAATTCTTAAACTGATTGTCTTTCTTCCAACCTGATTCTGATAGTCTCTTTCTCTTACAAACCATTTTATTTTTGCTAGTTTCATTATTTACAATTTGGGAAGATGAGTCAATGATTTTCTTCTACGGAAATATTTCTCTAAAAAATCTTGAGAAAGTAAAATAACTAAAAATAATTTAGTTAGTTTAGTAAAGTAAATAATAATAAAATGCTGTAAGAACAAAAGGCTACAAAGTCATTATATTTTCTTACTCAAGGATAAAAGAAGTAGCTTCTTTATTCTGAACAAAGAAGGAAATTTAAAAAAAAGCTGTATTTAACCACTTTACAATACTATTCTGCTCGGATGATGTCGCTTTAATATTTGAAAACCATTAAATGACAGAACCGGCAAAGCGAGGACTTGCAGTCTTGCCTCACAGAGCACTACAAGGACAACAGGGTCGTACTACGTAATATACGAGGGTAAATGAAACAGAACTTCCATTTTTACAAATGCGGTACATATTAAATAAATAATATTTTTAATTATACCGGGTGTTTTTCAAAAGGGGCTCATCCCTTTAACCTTTTTATTTTTTCATATAAAAAAAACTGTAAATTTTTATTCCCCTGAGTGTATGAAATAAGTATACGTTTTCTTGCGGCGTTAAAAAGTTAAGTTTGATTTTTTTACAGCTTCAAGGGACTGTAGACTTGAGTATATGATTTTAGTTTCAACTCCATATGCACCTAAGTTCATGCCTTCACGAGATAAAGGGTTTTGACAGACAGACAGACAGAAAGGCGGGCGCACTGACTTTCTTTTTGAGGTACGTAACCCTAAAAAATGAGCTATGAATAAAAATGCGATTTCGGCATCTTTTAATCGGCCAGGAAAAGACACTAAAAACATTAGACTATCAAACATATTTTTCCAAAGCTCGTGGATTAAAAATTAATGGTTTTAACGCAGACATGACACTTTAGATTGAAATTTAAAATGTTATTTCTTGCCAAAAGAAAAATATGATGTCATTTTCAAAAAATTCTGAAGGTACCATTTAGCCCAGTCAAATTAGAAAAATCGGTGGAAAAAAATCCCATGTCTTAAAAGTCCACGAAGATAGACGATGAGCTCGAGGAGAGGGGAGGGGTTAAATGTCACTTTTATGACTTTTGGGCTTATATCTCGGAAAATATGACACCTACGAAAAAATATCCTATTTAGAAAATTGAAGTCCAAAAAATTCTCTTCAAAATTGGTTGAATGCATTTTTTTCATAAATCTAACCTTTTAAGAGTTACAGGGTTGACAAAATTAACACTATTTCTCATATTGTATTTTCGCATTTAAAATCTAATTAAAGTCTAAATTTAACCTTTCATTATAATAATAGTAATATTAAAGGGTCCTTATGTTATCTTTCAAGTCTGTATTGCATCGGACTTTTCGTCTTCCGTTGGAGAGTACTAGTGCACGCAGGACTTAATAAGAACTGCAAGGTTAAAGATTAATGCATGCCTGCTTTATGGTAAAAAAAAGTATACCACAGCATTTAGCGCACTGCAAATATTGTAGAAAGTATACGAAAACAAAGAATCATGGTTTATGATCCATGATTGCTCAGAGATGAAGATTTCTATCCCCTATTAATGTTAAAGTAGCACGAAGCTTTTGAGGCATTAGCATTTGAAGACTGGTTCCCTGAGGTTGTATATTGCTATGATATTCTACATGATTTCTTCCTGTAGGTACAGTTAACGTAAGCGTAATATTTACGAACTACACTACCCAATTCATTTCGCCAATATAGCATCAGTCTTCCCTCGCAGAATTTCAAAGATTCTTAAAAGGGCATTAGAAAGTGGGATTTCTGAATCTTCTTAACTTACAATAATTGAATACTATAATGGTTTTCACATACATATAACATGAGTCCCCATAATTTAAAATTATCCATATTATTCCATATTATCCGGTTTAGACAAGTAATTTGTATTCAATAACAAAAAGTGATTTATTATTTATAATAAGGCATGTATCGCGTACTTTTTTAATTTAGTAGGTCTTTCAAATTATTTTTTAATTTTCTACAATCGTGTAATATATTATGACATTAAAATTGCAAAAAATCGATGTTATTAAAGATAAGGTGCTTTAATTTTCATTATAAGACTTTTGAATTGAAGAATTTCACGAAGGTATTTCTTATTTCCGAGACAAAAATTAATTCAGAAACATAATAATTCACTATTATTTTATAAATGTATTATTATTTATTTTGTTTCTGTAATATATTATATACATAATGTCGGTTTTTATTCTTTTAATTATACAAATATAAATTACAAATATAAAGCAAAATAAATGAACAGAAAACATTATCCATGTTAAGAAATATCTTGCGCAGTCAATAAGTGATATATATGTGAACGCATCACGTCTAAAATTTATAATATCACAGTAGATATATACTAAAAGTTATACTTAATACTTAAAAAATCATGATATCAGTACGATTTCAGTACGAATATCAGTACGAAATCATGATATCATCTTTCCCTCGAGCGAAAAACGTGCAATGAAAAGAAATGTGTTTGTACGGATTTGGAATATGCCATTTGAGTATCCAATATAGTATCCAAATTTATAAAGGGCATAGTTCGGAAACCATAAGTCCGGGAAAATGTAATCATTTTTATAGAGAATTTTGTCAGCTTTATTTTTATATATACAGCGTTTTTCGGTAGATGCCATATTTTCCGAGATATAAGCAAAAAAGTGAAAAAATTGACATTTAACTCCTCCCCACTCCTCGAGCTCATCTGGGACTTTTGACACATATCAGCCAAAGTCTAAAAGAATCGTTTAAAACCATTTTCAAAACTGTGGGAATTTTTTCCACCGATGGGCCTTTTTTAACTAATTTGACAGGGGTATTACATATTCTATATGAAAAGAACTACATTTAGCAAAGATTTTACTAGAAACGCACACTTGCCCTAAATTCGCTTAAAATGGCTAAGTATAAATGAGTAAGAAAGGGGGACTAAGTCATCTCCATTTCGAGCCTCTCCAATTTTCAATCTGATTTTAATATTGCCATCGTTCACCTCACGATCCCCTTTGATAAATACATACCACACTAATTTAATCTAAAGTGGTATTTATTATGAACGGCCCACACCTTTGACAGTTATTATAATAAGCCTTTGTGATGGTGATTGTGCTCAATATCAAGTAGGCGAGGGCTGCAATTAAAACCTAAAGTCAGTGGCGTACAAACTTGCTGTACAAGAAGGTTTTAAAATTATGATCAAATTTGTAGCTCTTGGGTCCTTCTTGATGCGTTGTTATTCTCCTAAATACCAAATTACCTGTAATTTATAAAATAAATATCTTAAAAAGTTAACCAAGTCTAAAAAATATAATTAGTTCTAAGTGAATTTCATAATTGATTGGTTTACTAGACCTAACATATATTATACTACCTTACTTATATTATACATAACGTATGCTTGACGCTTGATGGGACAGCTACAAGATGTAGCTTTAACAACAAATTCAATATAACCGTACCAGGAAGGAAAGACCGGAGAAAAGGATTACCTTACCCATTCAAGCTGTGGTAACCTGGTATACAGACGGCTCAAGAACGTCGGAAGGCGTAGGAGCTGGAATAGTAGAACCGAAACAAGGAATTGAATTTATCCCCGTAAGCCTATTAAGGATATCACAGTTTTCCAGGCAGAAATAACGGCAATCCACTATTGTGTAGAAGAAAATAGGCAGCAAATACCACATCGTTCGGTGGCCATCTTCACAAACAGCCAAGCAACGCTAAAGGTACTCAGTTCCATGCACGGAGGTCTATTCTAGCCTAGTGCAGGATTGTGTGCGTACTCTAAATACTTTAGGTGAGCGTAGCATTTTTATGTTAGCCTGTAAAAGGCAGATGAAATAGCCAAGCATGGCTCATCAATACCATTCATAGGCCCAGAACTCGCAAGTGGTTCAAACACAAATTTCGAGAATGGTGGAGAAACTCACCAGGGCAGAGACAGGCGAAAAGTTCAAAATAGAACATTCGCCAAAATTCAAGTTCTGTTTGTCGTTTCATTCGGTCGATTGAAACGTCAAACAGCTGTCAAAAATGGGGGTTTTTGATGTCGATTCCGTTTTATTGCCATGAATAAAAGGACAGCATTCTACCTACTGCTTTCTTAGGTTTTCCAGGCTATGAATTTATATTTTATTGAAATTTACCAATTATACTCGTACATGCCAAATGTACTAAAAATTTCCATAATGGCAGCTCCGCAAAAGTATCCAAAATTTCTTAGAGATAGTATGATCGAAAAAAAACGACGTCTAGTTGCCTTGAAAATGAACAGCGATGACGTTCCCCATATAATTTTACATATAAAATGACAGCGATCTTCATTTCATAGCCATCGCTGACGCCTGTTTTTTCGATCATACGGTATATTGTTTTATTAGGAGTAAAAATGATGCTTTTTGTGACGAGGTTGTACGTTGATATTACAGGCAAGGCACACAAAGTAAATTTTTACTCATCAATCAAAAGAACATTTTTTTTCAAACGTCACAAATAATTTTTTAAATAATTTCAAACGTCCCAAAAAATATAAAAAGTAATAACTTGTAAATAATTATTATATATCAAGAAACTATGGTTACACTCAGTGAATTACAGTCACACAATATCAGTTTAATAATATATTTTTGTACTTTTTTGCTTAGCCGTAAAAGTGCTTTCGCAAAAATTAATACTGTTGTGACGTTTGAAAAAAAAGATGACTAAATAAGTATACTTTTCTATTAAATAAATAAAATATAAAATGATACGCTACTGAGCGAAATAGGATTATCCATCATCCTTATACGGAATCCCGTCGCATATGCGCTGTCTCTGTATTTCATTCGTTTTTTTTTATTACAAAAATATACTATATCCCTTTGATTGACGTATCTAGCTCAAAACGAAAATTGCATCGCATTAATATAAAAGTTAGCTGTATATGAACAGAACAGGCAGGCGACCAGTTTTATATTAGCTTATTTTTAAGTTAATAAAAGTGGCACGTTGACTTTTTATAGCTTATAACAGTAAA